ACTCCTATCATATTTTTATTATTTTTTTTTTTTGTTCATCTCTCAATCAAAATAGAAAGTCAGCGCTTATGTTGCAGCGAAGGTTTAAACTTTAGACACAATAATAAAAATAATTTCCATTTATTAGTGTATTTGTATTATTGACAACACTCCTGGACTTGTGTTGCCCAAAATGCCTAACTGTTGCAAGACCAAGACCAGGACTGGTAAAAAAAATCGATTATTTGAATAAAAAATAAGGCAAAATAGTTACTGATACTCGACAATCTTAGTTACTATATGTAAATAATTGGTATAACCTACATACTTTTGCATTTAACTCCTCTAATTTTTCATTCAGGCTTTGTTAGGTTTGTCCTATCTAAAAAAATACAGTAATATCTCTACAATAACGAGCTAATAAGTAACTGCAAGACTCTTGCGGGACTCTTGCACAAGAGCAAGACCATGACCAAACCTGATTTTGCAAGACCAAGACCCGTCTCGGTCTTGTATTTGGGCAACTATCCTGGACGAACTTATTACAACGAAATTACATCCATAGTAAATTAAGCGCTAATATTAAATGAATATTACTGGTCCCGTTTTTTTTAATATCCTTTCTCCCTTTCTTTATATGGCAAGGCAAATTTATTATTAATAAGAAAAATTTCATACATTTTTTTTTTTTTTTTTTAGATCCAATAGATAATAAAAAGTGTAAAAGAAGAAGTTTTGAAGATGTATTCCAAGTTAAGATCACCAGATCAAGTAGCTTTACGGCCGTTAAATGTGGTAAGATGCACTCATTTGCAAAAATAAAATTAAAAAAAAAGTTGTATGTAAAAAATACATGTTAAATGAGCTATAAAAGGTACAAATAATTTTTCCAATTTAAATAAATTATTAATTTATTATTGTTTACTGTGAGAAAATTTTAAATATAAACTCTTACCATTGTTACTTTTAGGATAAAATGGAATTGCGAATTTGGAATTTAATGAAAATGATTATTTAGATTTTCGAATTTGTTGGTTTACTTTATTTTATTTTTTACAGATGATTGAGGATGGAGAATACATTTGAAAAAAGAAGCTGCCTTCCCAAACTTAACAATAAACAAATTTTACAATCTTCTTTTAATTCTTTACTAAGTTATTATATCGAATATCACAAAACATCATCTATTAGTAGTCAATAGTGAAGTGAATTAAATGTATCTTAGTTAAAAAAGCTATGTTGGTTGATATATCCTTTTGATAAATTATTTAACTGCACTTCTTTAATTTCAATTAGTTTTTAAATATAAATTAGTTTTACCATTCAATCCTGCTGGTTGAACCCCCCTGTCAAAGTCAACATAGTTTCTTCCTACACCAATGACCACTAGCGGATCCAGGATTTAATTTTGGGGCGGGCTTCAACCCGAAACCTTTTTTTTTTATAAAAATAACGATAATTACTTTGGAAAAACAGAAAGAAACTAACTACCTATATGAAATGGTGTTTAAGTTATTCCTTAAGTACTTTTAAATGTAATTACACGAACAATAATACTTAAGAGGTATTTTTTAAATTTGTTTTCCCATAAAACATGGTTATATTTTTCCATTTTGGGGGGGGCTTCAGCCCGAAAGCCCCCCCCCCCCCGTAGATCCGCCCGTGCCAATGACGAATTCAAGACAAATTATAAAAAAAATAAAAACTGATTTTAAAAAATATTAAAAAACTAGTAAATATATCAAAAATGGCGAATTGTATTGGAGAGGGCACTCTAGGTGATTAGTCACTAACAAAAACTTAGTACTCAACAACTTTCTTCGCTACAACTTTACAACTAGAATGATTAGAAAAAGTGTTTGCTAGTAAACGAGAAGTAAATAGTTTTTTTTTTTACAAAATAGGCGATTATTGAGAACGCATAAATTGTAAACTATGCCAGATAGGATAAAAATAGTTATAATCAATATTGTTGCAAATTTCATCATCTTTTATTTCGTATAGAACGTTTTTATGGCTACGATGCGTGGTTTCCGTGATAAAAGCGCTAAACCGAAAAAAATTACCGTCTGGGTGCCCCCCTATATCCGACTCACCTGCCTGGGGTGGAGACTTTTAGTATGTTTACCTGCTAACTAGGTCGAACAAAGTCCCGAAGTAAAAAATGTTGTCCCCGCCATTTCCTTATATAAATCATTCATTGACTGCACTATATTTTATTATGTATATTTTGTCCTCCCTTTCCTCTTAGCCTTTAAGGCTATACGGGGTTTTTCCGGGCCTGGGGGTGAGGGCGGAAATTCAAAAGACCCTCCCGCCACCGGAACGCGAACTCGTGACTATTTTTTTCATCAAATTGTTTTGATCAGGTCGCCGGGCAACGGCAATGCTGTGCACACGCGTTACCCTGTTCGGCCACTCCGCCCACATATTTTATTATATTGCATTGATTGAATTATATGCCCCTCCTGATCCATCAATCCCAATATCATGTCTACGCAGATGACTTCCAAATTTACCTGTCCTTCTCGCCTTCGGATCTATTACCAGCCACAAAAAAGCTTCAAGAATACTTAATTAGAATCTGTAACTGGGCAGGAGCTAACAAGCAGAAGTTGAATGCAGGAAAGACGAAGGCAATCTTAACATCACCTCCTTAAAACTATTCTTAACATTCAAACTCTGTTCCTACATAATAATACCATCAAAAACCTTAGAATAATCTTTGATCAAACCCTTCTCTGAAAAAACCATCTATCCAATTTCTCCCGTCGTACCTTTTCCACCTTAAAACGTCTAAATAGCCTCTGTCACCTTTTTCCTTTTGAAACCTGGACACTCCTGTCCACTTTCTTAATATTTCCATTCTCTTAACTGTTGCTGCACAGTATATGGAGGCGTCTTTGGGGATCTCGAGGCAAAACTAAAACGTTTGATAAATTTTTTTGTACGATTCATCTTTTGGATTCCAAGAGACGTCTCTGTTTCCTGTTTTATGAAGATTTGAAGTGGCTTTATCCTTCCTACCATTGTAAGTATTTGTTAGCATCCTTTTTCTTCCAAGTCATTCAGTCCCGCCGCTCCTCATACATCCGAGCTCCTTCAATTCAAATCCTGTGTTCACTCCCGTTATACCTGTTCACGATCTTCAGATTTACACATAATGGCCGACCAAACCGCTGCTTTCGATAGATATTTCATTATTCAATCCTCATCGATATGGAACTTCATCCCTCTCTACATCCGTCGCTCCAATACTCTTCCTACTTTTAAATCCCCCCTACTCAATCACTTTGTTTTTCCTTGATAGACCGCGTTCCCAATTTTGTTTTTTACATACCTTCACAAATATATACGAGTTAAGAGAACAAAAATTTTTCACAATTATTTTCCTTTTTCGATTCTCAAGTTACTGCTCTAATATTCTTTAAATCAGGCGCCCTTTTTACAGTTAGCAAGATCCGACCGGCAGACTCTTATTTTTATAATATAAATGTTTTTTAAAAATGCGTTTAGAATTTTCATCAAATAACGTCGATAATTTTTTCACCGAAGAAGATAAGGGTGACGAACCATGGAACGGATTGCAGGATATATAATTGTATATAATCTACGATTTTTTAAATTCTACTTTCGCTTGCACTGTTTTTAAGAAGAGGGCAGTAACAAAATATCTTGAGAGTGGGCGTGGAGATTCATGCGCGCGCCATCGCTTAAGGGAGATGGGCATCCCTGACAATGATTAAAACAATACCAGTTTAGAAAACTTATAGTCAAATATGGTCTGAAAAGCAGTGTATTGTTGAATCCGCCCTTTAGAACATAATAGTATAGATTAAAGTAATAGTATAGATTTAAATATTAATGAGAAATTATTTGGACAAAGAGAATTTAAAATGACCATTCTGCTTTTTGATAACTCGAAATTTTTCACGATGAAAATACCTTCCCTTACTTTATATGTATTTCATAAATAAGATAATATATTAATGTGATAATATAAATAAGAGATGATATGTTACAGATATCTTGTGAGTTTTCTCTGACAAAGGAGTATTATTATGACAGAATTCTGCATTTGAAAATATATAGAATTTCTTATAAACGGTTTTTATTATTTAAAGCTAGTAGAAATAATTAAAATGCAATATAAAAAAGTAGATAAAGCTTGATAAACAAAATTAAAAGCGGGCCTGTCCGGGATTTGAACCCGGGACCTCTCGCACCCGAAGCGAGAATCATACCCCTAGACCAACAGGCCATATCTCAGCAGGTACACTAATTCTAATTAAGTGGTAAAGGAGAACTATATTTTTCTTCTAATTTTTAATTTAATCGAATTTTTTTCTATTGTATCACTACCAACCATTTTATGTGCTTAATATTTAAATTATGAAATGATTGAATATTAATGTAATATATTTATTTCAGTTTCTAAGCTGAATACGTAATATTTTTATTTATTTATTCTATTCGTTTTTTCGGCTGCTAAACTTTCACAAAATAAGCATAGATTGTTATTTACGCAATCAATGTATTTATTTTGTTTTGGTTCTTTTAAATTTAGTTTGCTTCAAAAATAACTGATTAATAATTAAAAAGTTTCTTTTTCATTTCTTATCTAAAAATTAATTATCTCACGTAGTAACACTTATTTACAGTTAAATTTGAGATACCAAATCTATGTTTAGACAGTTTTATTGATTTTTTTATATCACATTTTTATTTAATGTATTTTCTTTTATATCAGTTAACAGCTACGAAACAATTGAGGGTACGATTGTTATGATTGAATACTTAATACCAAATTGCTTTATTGTTGTTTTTTTTAAAATATTTTCTTATTTTTTTCCAATTATATATCGATTGATGTACTAACATAATGGAGAACTTTCTCAATACTCAAAATTAGGGCACATCGAAACCATTGTTTGGCCAAGTTAAGACGGAACCGATGAGCTCAGCACTAAGTTAAGGAACTCACCCTTGTTATCAAATATTTTCGGAAGGTTACTCTGATAAAAATGTAAACATTGGTTTTGTTATCTTCTGTGAAGTTGGTTAATTTATACAATGTGTGGTTTATGTATTAAACCAAAAGTGGATAGTTTATAATTTCAAGTTAATATGTCGCTTGCTTTTATCTATTTAATAGTTCGAACACCACTTTTATTAGCAAATAAACTATTGCTCCAAGTTACAAATTGAAATTTAATTTTAAATGTGATACATAACCATTGACGTACTTAATAGAAGGTGCAATATGACTACCAAAATATTTTTAAATTCAAGATGTTCATTAACTTCAGTAGCCAAGCCAAGTTTTTTCAATGTGATTATTTCAGGTGGGGGGTTAATTGGTCAAACAATGGCTTGTGCCCTCGCTAAGAATCCAGTATTTAAAAATACAAACATTTTGTTAATAGAAAGTTCATCTAAAAAAGATTATGCTCAGAAGGATAGTTATTCAAATAGAGTATCATCAATAGCCCCAACCACAATAGAGTTTTTCGAGAAATTAGGAATATGGAAAAACATCAAGAGATATCAAGTAATGAAAGATATGAAAGTATGGGGGTATCTTTCTAAGGATTACATCAACTTTGAGCATGATAGTAATAATCCAGCTTATATTGTCGAAAATGATGAAATCATCAACGCTGCTGTGATGGAGAACACAAAAGCATCAAATGTAAAAATACTATATGGTTCTACAATAAAAGATGTTACTTTAAATGTTGGGAAGCGAGGTAGAAATCATCAAATAAAACTTGTCGATGATTCTCTATATGATACTAATCTTTTAATCGGAGCAGATGGAGCTAACTCATTTATTAGGAATGTTATGGGATCTGATTATATTAACTGGAACTATAAACAGTTTGGCATTGTTGCAACAGTGCTTTTATCTGAAAGTAATGAGAACAATACTGCTTGGCAGCGATTTCTTCCTGATGGTCCAATTGCCATTCTTCCTCTTGAGAAAGGTATTAGCTCATTGGTATGGTCACTTACTGAAAGCAAGGCAAAACAAATATTGAAGTTGCCTGAAGAAGTGTTTGTGGATGCCCTAAATGAAGCTTTGCATTCAGAACCTCAAAAAAATGAGGTAGCTGCAATTGTTAACAGCTGTTCTAAATCCTTATTAGGTGTATTTGGCCCTAAATCTTTTTCCCAACCCTTAATTCCACCTCATATCAAATCAGTTGTCCCAAAAAGTATTGCTGCTTTTCCTCTTAGCTTTGGGCATTGTAGTCAATATTATAAGGATGGAGTTGTGTTGATTGGCGATTCAGCCCATAAAGTTCATCCTTTGGCTGGACAAGGTGTCAACATAGGCTTCAGGGATATTCAAAATCTAGAAGCGAAATTGAGTCAGGGTGTCAGTGATGGGAGAGAACTAGGTGATGCCATGGACTTGAAACATTATGAGACAGAAGCTCAACGACATAATATCCCACTCATGGCAGCTATAGATGCTCTTCATTGGATTTATACATCAGATAATACTATCTTAAAAGCTTTTGGTAATGTGTGTTTCCAGTTTACAGAATCTATGAGACCTCTTAAAACTGTAATGAAGCAGTTAGCAACTTGATTTTTTTTAGGTTTTCTAAATAAATGAATAAAATATATAATCCTAATTATATATCTAACTATATCTCCTAAATATAAAGATATGAATGTTTAGGTAATATTTTTAGTTACAGTTGATTTGTAAATAATTAATTATGTTTATTTTTGTCCTAGATATTTTATGAGAATTCTGTAACATTTTGGTATTACTTAATATACCTCTATAAGTTGTTACCATTAGGAATGTCTTATCAATAAAAAATGTTTATATTCTAAATGCCAGTTCACTTATTATCAGTTAAAAATTGATTTCAGTATTCTTGTCTATCATATAGTAATGATAAACACTTTTTGAATAAAATAAAAAAATTATTGAATCTGTTTAAAATTAAATTAAACTTTAGAATAAATAATTAATTTTTTGATCTATTTAAATATCAAAAATTTTACCTCTTCTGGAATAAAACTCATGTTATACTTATTTATTTATTGGTCATTTAAATAATTCTCCAGGAAGAAAAAGCACGGTGTTCTTAAATTAACTTTTGCTTATTGTAACCAAACTTGAGAAGGTTTTGAAGAAGAAGATGGTCTAGGAATTCATTCTGTGTGTCTGCCGCAAAATTAATTTCAAGCCCGCACAGGCTGAGTTGGACTCCAGAATGTTTAATTGATGCCCATTTTAACATACTCTGCCACAACAATCTCACATAGCTTATGGCACATACTGGTTCAGATGTTACAGAGTAATCTCTGACCCTTTCTGCCTAATTTATCGGCCTCTTCATCCTGAGTGTCCTGGCAACCTTTGATTCAGTGCAGTAAATGTTAAGTGCCTATATTGATTATTGATTGTAGGTATAAAGATCCTTTTATCTCAGAGTTCTGATAGACCTTAGAACCATCTTCATGTCTTCTGATGTAGTAATGACCTTCAGACCCAAAATTCCAATGAAAAAGGATAAAAGTCTTACAGCTGTTTTTTAAACTATGATTGAAAAATCTACAATTATGATTATTTGAAACTATGGGAGCCATGGATCATTCAAGGGTCTGAAGTTGTATCTTAGGATTCTTCTTCCACTTCGCCAATTTTTAACTGTGTGAGCCCCATACTCGAAAGTTCACAAGAAATATTTACTTGTAGAACTTCATTGGCTAGAATCCCTTCTTTATTAAAAAAAAAAAAAAAAATCAAAGATCTAAAAAAATGTTCATATTTCTGGCATAGGGGAGAGAGAAGAGGTGGTATCATATTAGTGTTAGTGGGAGGGTTGACATTCATTTCGTGGGCCCGCCAAAAAATAATTTTTAACTTGTCCTTGGGTTGCTTTGAGTTACATGTTCTGGCCATTTTCTGTAGTCAGTCCTTTATTGATCTTTCTCCTCTATGCATTATGACTGAGATCCTAAACTCTGCTTATATACAGAAGGCTTCACTCTGATAAATCAAAGTGGTTTTCTAATCTTGTACATTTTTACTTTGTGGCTTCTATAGGTTTCAGGATCCTGGAGATGTAGACAGAAAAAACTGGTTTTGGAACAGGACTCCAAAGCAATATGGCAGTGCCCATAGCCCACAAAAAATTCTAGCCTTTCACAATTATAAACTGGTTTATGACATTTATAGCCTAGCCAGTGACCACATACAAACATATTCATTTACGGGCGTTTATAGCCTCACAAGTGACCATCCACAAACTAAATAAATAGTAGCCAGGGACCATTCACAAACATATTTTGGTCCAAAAATGAATAAAAGTCTCGCCAGTGACCATAACGCAAAAACTTGGGTTTATGAGCGTTTGCAGCTTTGCCAAAGACCTCTATTCACACTTTAACTATATTAGTTTTAAGGCCCAAAACCTGACATATTGATAGACGCCGCTGCAAACTGGAAAGCAATAACCCAATATAGACAGAGGTAATAAAGGCTGATTCAGACTAATAAATAAATATAAGGTTTGTAAAATCACCAGAGAAAAAAAAATTTGCTTACGCATGCTTAAGCGTATTTTTGTGACACAACATATCTTCAAAAACGGTTCCCTAAGGAGCTAGTTGGGGACGAAGGCTAAAAGCCTAATGTCAATTCCATCAATAATTTTTACTTACCCTTAAGTTTGTATGAAATGAAGAGCGAGGCCGAGTATCATGATCAAACGTTTTTATGTGTGTGTGCACGTGAACAGTATCTAAAAAATGAAAAGTCTTAGTAAACTTAAATTATGGATTCAGCTCAAATTGTTACTACAAAACACTCACGGAACCTAACGGAATAATTTAAGATATCAAATTTCATTCATCCGTTCGCTCAAAAAATCTATGCATACCTTTTAGTGGACAATCCAATCACATTACACTCGTGTTGTTGCGCTTCCAAACACTCAGGGGGTCCCACCGAGTAATTTAAGATATCATAGTTTGTTAAGTTATTTATACAACCGTTTGTTTAAAAAATCGTTACATTTGCTTTTTGCAAATTGATTTAACACATTTTATTTAATCACGGGTTAGCATCTTTAGCTCAAATTGTTTCAAAACATTCAGTTGATCCCCTCGAATAATATGAGCCATGAAAAATCAAAATTGATCCCGCCATTTACTCAAAAAAGCTTTACATAGGTTTTAGCGGACAGCGCAAACATATAACCCTCGTGTTGCTTCGCATTGCCAGGTAAAAAGAAAACCAACAGAATTGACAAAACTATAGTAGCATTGCACTGAAGTGTACCTTTCTCAAGGTTTAGACAAGTATATAAGTAGTAACAACCAAGAAACAAAGGAGGAACAGGTATACCACAGGAGGTGGATACCACTTCTTGAGAATACTAAAGTTTAAGTATCTGGGCCCTTTTATCGTAAAGGATGATGATAAAAAAGGAATGAATACAAGGTTGAGTAGTCAGGCGACAATAGATGCCATTGCTCACTTAAAAAAAAACATCGAAATTCAGAATTCTCTCAAATAAACAGTCGACTGGATGATTTTTTTTAGCAGTTATATACATATGAAAGCGAGTCCTGAATCTGCGCCAGTTCCTTTCATGAAGAAAAGCTGCTAAACATATGTCAATGGAAAATACTTTTAAAAATACGTGGTCTAAAGGAAGAAGGTAATCTTTGACTGTAAATGTCAAACGAAGAAATAAGAAACTTAAGAAGCAATTATATATATTACATCTACCATAAAGTAAGACTGAATAAAATGGGTGGGTCTAGTTCAAAGAATGGGACATTGTTGGCTATGATGGCTCTCTAAAACTATGATGATCAAAGAATGAGGAATAGTCCTAAATTTCGTTGGCTGTTGAATGTAGAATGTATGTCTTGATAGAGGATAAGGAGGGTTTCTGAGAAAGTTTTAAATTGTTGAGGCTTAAGTCCTGGAGAGGCCTGTTTAGCCATCGGATAATGATATTACAATTTAGAACATGTTTACATTTATTTTATAAATATTGAAGTGTCTTTTTCATACTACAGTTTTCATTTCATTTTGTTTTCCTGTTAATTTTTTTTTTTTATAGATTTTTCTACATCCCTCTATTGAATATCTGGATCTACAATTGTCGTGGTTGAGGCGGTATTCGTATTAGTCGGTAGGGGGGGGGGGGCTAGTCCTGCAAGATTCATTTCTCCATATTGCCTTTAAATATATATTAACTAATCCAGATGGGATTCAATCTTACTCCCTTCCGAAAGGGGCACTCAAGGTTCTTTACAGGATTGTTAGTAAGACAAGTTAACTATGCCATAATATTTAAATAACACCCCACAATGATAGATTATTATATTTCACTAAAAAAACAGAAATTCCACAGAGGTGTCATATTCCTAAAACTTGGCAGACATTTATGTTATAAAGAACCAAAACATTTAAATAACAATATCCCAAAAGTGAAATAATGTCTAATTCTTTTAAATTGTTTATTTATACTAAAACTGGCTCTGCGTTTGCGTTGCAAAGGTTATATTAAATATTAATAACTAGGAGGCGATGTTTTCAGAACAGTTAGTATGAATACGTGGGTATTTTGAAGCTTGTGACAGTTGTTATCAATGCTCGTTGATTGCGTTTTCTAGTGTTATTATTTTTTTTGTAATGTCTGTTTTTAACCCAGATAAGGTACATTTGGTACAAAAACTATCAATTCACAACAGTGATGTTACAAGTTGCGATTTCAGTAAACATTTATGTCTAGCTACAGGTTCAGGGTAAGTATTGCTTTTCGTATATTGTGTTTATCTCTTGAATAAATTATTAAAATAACGAAAACAAAATATGTTTACAGTGATAAAAAAGTTGTAGTTTGTGAATGGAAGAAAGATTTAGGTTTTGTTGAAGCAAGTTATTCACCATTAATTGGTCACAAGTATTCTATTACTTGTGTCAGATTTTCTTCTTCTCATATCCTAGCTACAACATCAGTTGATGGCCACACTATTCTTTGGGATATAAAAGTATGTTTAATTTTGTATTTATAATATATTTTATTAATTGTATTGATTATTTAAAAAGTACGTCTGGTAAATATGTAACTGTTCTTGTTTGTGAACCTTCAGAATGGCAAAAGTATTCATACACTGGTTCAAGCCAATGGTCTAGGAGTCAGAGTTTTATCATTTTCTGGGGATGGAACGATGCTAGTGAGCGCTGGTGAAGGAGGTACATTTTGTCTATGGACAATTCTACCGAACTCGGTGGCTCTTTCAAGGTACCAAAGTAATTATATGTATTGCAGTGCTTATATAGTCTAAATAGTATGTATATAAGAGTTTCTGTGTTTATTTTTTATTATTGTATTTGTTAAAATTTTCATTATAATTAATTATATAAATTTTAAAATTAATTTATGTAGCATTGTTAACCAATGAATTTAGATTGTGCATATTAATTTGTTATCAGTATGCATTTATTTTGTGTCATTTTTTGAAAACATCTCTGCATACCCAAATTTTGAGCTTAAACTTCTGTTTAATTTCTTTCTATGTTGTTTATTGTTTATTTGTAATTTATAATTTAAAGATTGATTAATTACTTCTATTGAATGCTTTTGATCAGTCTCATTTTAAAATTTTCCTACAGAGCTGTGAGTGGTCATGATGATGAAAGTATTCAAGGTACCGCGTTTTCACCTGATAGTAATTTGCTAGTGACAGGAGATGTCACAGGTACCCAATTATTCGTTATATTATCATGTTATGACAAAGGAAAAAATTTACTTATCTAAAAATGTTATAGTTTTTATTAATAAGTATTTAATTATATTATAGGCAGTTATAAAATCTGGTCGGTGGAATACTTGAAAGACAATCAGGATACAAGTCTTACTGTTGTCAGAGATGCTCATGATTTAGGAATAAATTGTATGGAATTTTCTCCTCAACACAGTGTTATCACTAGTAAGTTTTTATCTTTTTTATTTTTTTTTTTTTTAAAGTCATCACCATTATGAGTCATTTGTTGTCATTTTTTCATCAGTCTGCTGATGTCATTGGATGCAATGGAACTTTGAATTGAGCTTAGATTCTTAACATGGCTTAAATAAAGAAAAATAAATGCCTGGCAGTCAGAAATAAATTCATAGTAAGGTTGAAGCATTTAGTAGAGGGGCCAAAGATATTTAAGATCAATTACATTTTAAATTTTAGTAAAAAAAATAACTTTTTTTTAAACTTGCACCAACTAGCAAGGATCTCCCGGCCTCAGGGTCAACCCACGGCTGATGAAAAATTACAAGTCATCAGCTGGACTCGAACTTAGGACCTTGTGCTCTGGAAGTGAGTGCTCACCCACTGAGCTACCCCATGCCCTAAAAAAGAAAATATATATATATATATATAATAATAATTTGCCTAGTTTTGAAAATAATAATATAAGTATTTGTTATGAAGTTATAAATACAGCTTCTTCCAAAGATATTAACAATAATATTAGATAGATTACATGCCAAGAACAATAACTAAACAAAAATAAATTGGTATTTGTTGTTAATTGGTCCTTTTATTTACTTCAATTAGGACAGGATGAGTAGGCCATGCTCTATGTTTCTATTCTGCATAAGATTGCCAAGATTTGTTAATTAGTCTGTCCACGAAATAAATTCTATTATTTTTACTACTTTTGACTTAGACCTTTTCAGTCATGAGTCTTTTTCAGCAGCTTGGTGCTGTTATAGACGACACTAATGGTCATTTGGTTCTATCTTCTTTGAGATATCCTGGGAGCCGGTGGTTTTACTAACCGAATGCAATCACATTTCACTCAGTAACTTTCCTGCAGGATGCTTGGCAATCTTTTTCTTCAATCTTTCACCCAGATTTTTATGGAATAGGGGAATTATCAGCTCTATACTAACCCTCAACCTTGAGAACCAGGAGCTTTGGTTTAAGACACAGGAGTCGTTCACCTCCCTATGAATCTCAGGATGTGGACGTTACCGTCTCTATGCGGGAATCGAACCTAGGCCGTCTAAGTAATCGAGTAGGGGGCCTGCACTTAATTATTTTTAATTTATTATTAATTTTGTATGTGTTATTAATTCCCATAACGGGACTTGAACACTTGATATAAAATGTTTGCAGGCTTTTGTGCCTTAACTGGCTCTACCACCGCGGTTCCACATTCTTTATAAAGTTTAATTAAATAAGAGGCAGCTATCTACTTAATATTCAAACATGCATTTGTATTACCTTAATAAATTTTGATACAAAGGTCTCAACAATTGGTATTTGATTCAGATAGGCTTTTTACAATTATAAATAGTTCTATTTGATAAACAAAATTAAGAATATTGTTAGTTAGGTTTTTTATTTAGCTTTCCATCCTGCAAGTCGTTACAGTAATCTAATCTGAAGAAGTCTTTACATTTTTTTTATACTCCAGTTGGACTTCTTTCATAGATTAAAAAAGTTTTCCAGAGTTGATTTATTTTTTATTCTATTTAATGCAATACTAACAACTTTGATTGTTGATTGTAAGTAATAATTACAGATGAGGAAGGCTTGAAACAATGTGAATATACCATGATCAGTTGTGGAAATGACCAAAACATCGCCATTTGGTCTGTTATTTTGATATGTGGTGGGAAAACGGCTGGGGAAAAGCTTTGCTATTCAACATTACAAAAACGTCTGTATGGTCATTCATCAGCTGTTAGTCAGATTAGAATTTCTCTCGATGGGAGTCTTTTAGCATCAACATCGATTGACAAAACTGTTAGAATATGGCAGGTAGGTACTTAAAGGATAATTGATTAGTGATTAAGAAGTATTTATAGTTGATGCTCTATATATTGAAAATTTACATTTCTGTAAAAAAAAAAAAACATTGATAGAAAGTTTGCAATTTTTATCGACATCATACTATTAAGAATTACAACTATATAAAGTAAGGTTATGTATGTTATTTTACCAGTCATTTTACATCGGCTATGTTTCAGCTAGGATGCCATTTGATTTAATGACTCCATAACTTAAAAATTGTAAATTTTATATATAATATTTGGAAAATTCTATGCTCAGTATTAGCTGGGCATAGTTAGTAAGTATTAAGTTAGTATGATCCTTTCAATTGACAGAATGACTAACTCCAATTTCAACATTTTTGAGTAAAGTCATTTTAGTTATATTTCTAGTTGTAAAATTTATAATATCTGTACAGACAGTGAGTAAGTTGATTCCAAAGTAGTTGATTGCAGTATTGAAATATAAAACTGTGAATAAAGGTGTAAAGAAATATCACTAAAATTAGTAATAAAGAATGTTGAAATTGGAGTTAGTCATTTTGTTATCTGAAAGGCTCATATTACTTTGTATAATATTTAAGTTAAAGGACCATGATGATCGGTTAATTTTTGTTTTTCCCAACCTCACTAATTTTATATACTGTAAAGACATGATTCACAAATTTGATTTTCAGGAAATGTTGCTTTATAGTATAATTACTTCCTCTATCAATAAGGATGTATAGTTTTCCTTAGGTACTGGAAAATCTTTGAAGTATGTTTCAGATTTAAGACAGAATTTATTTTTGAGAGAAAGATAAGAAAATAAGACTTTTTATTGGCTATATGTCTTGGATTATCATCCTCTATGTTCTAAAACCTTCTTAATTGTTTATAAAATGCACCATATTTCGGTTTTATAATGTTTTTATTGGTATTTAATTTTAATATATTTTATTGTATAATTAATTAATTGAGGCATAGAATGCAAAAGTAGCAAGTCTTTTTCATAATAAACAATTAATTAATTACTGAGTGTATTAATTACAAGCTTTTAAATAATTATATGTAAGTGAAACTAACTATTTTTAACAGATAAATTCAGTTTTTATTTCATTCCGAGAAATGTGCATTACTATGTTATACCTGCCTTTTTAGAACTTCCTCTAAAGTGTTAATTACATCAAAGCTTAATTTTTTGACTTTTGCATCAATGGGTCAATTATTAATAAAACGAATTAATTATATTATTTAATTTAAATTATGTTTTTAAGCTATCGAATGAAAAATGTGTTAAAATTTTGGAAGGGCACTCAAGATATGTTACTTCTGCTGCATTTTCTTCTGATGCATCACTTTTGGTTACTGGTAATTTTTTTTTTTTTTTTTAATTCACATGCATGTTAATATCAACTATGAAGTCTTGCTGTTAGCTCTTTAATGATGTAAATAAATTATAAAACATTCTTATTTATTTAATGTATAAATGGCCTTAATCTATTTCAAGCCCTGTGCTATTGGATTTTAGCAGTACAGAGCTGATCACACTTTCGTCCTAAAATACCAAAAAGTTGAGAACTAAGCACAAGTGTCTTCAACTTTTAACATGCTAATTTTTTTCATTTTCTTGTTATAAGTAGACTATATTCATTTTTGTTTATTTATATTACTTTTAAATTAGTTGGTCCCCTGTCTCCTTCCACCTGAAGATTCTGTAAAATGAGTAGTTGATCTTGCTGACTCGCTGAGAAAAACTGTTCGCTGACATGAAGTCGAGTCTGGTTTTCTTTATTAATTTAACCCTCATTGCCTCAAATCTGATGCAGGTCAAGAAGTACTCAATTTTTTTTCTATAACTCCTTAAGAGGATATATGTGGTTAATATTCTTCCTCAAGTCACGAAACTTGTTGCAGAAACCCTTGTGCCCTTTGTAGTCATTAAAGACCCATTTCACTTCCAACCAAATTTTATTCCTAATGATTATAAAATTTGATATAGTATATTGTCATCTATAAAATTTGATATATACTATTTGTGTTGCTTCAGAGATGTTGAATTTAATGGTTCCTGATACGATTTAAATGAATTTTCTTTGAACAATTATGCATCTTCTTTTGATCTCTTATTAAATTTATGATAACTTAGGACAAATATGATTCCCAAGTCCACCATGGTTGTTTTTCTGGAAATACTAAGATATCTAAGCACCCTGTTCCTTGCTTTTGTTTGTTTGTGTTTTTAAAATATTTAAACCTGGTTTGACCTGAAAAGTAGTAAACTGCTTATTGTTGTTATAAATGATACTGTACTTTCCTTCTTTTGTGACCTACAGCTATGATTAAATGGGCCTCTTCTGATAGTGTGGGGATTGGGAGAATCAGTTGAGAAGAGTTTCTTAGGAATACTATCTTTAATAATACTTGAAATTAAAAATATTAATTTAATTTAATCATATCTAAATATTTATAATTACTAGTTATAATTTCTTCTATTAAAATAAGCTGGATTATTTCCGGATATTACTGAAGGTTTATAGTATTGAATATTTAGTCATTTTAATTTAAATTGATTCTATTGTTTTTAAGGTTAGTTTTACTGGAATTGTTTTCTAGGTTCTAATGATAGAATGGTTTTTGTTTGGGATTTAACTGGGCAGTTTGGAATCAATACAGAAATGCCTTCAATGAGTTTATCGCCTACATTTTTTTCAGTAATTATATTTAACTTAATTTTTTTTTTTGTCAGCTATATTACATCATTTCTTAGTGCAGTTTACAATCTATATACATATATATACATTTTTTTTTAATTCAACTAGAATGAAGAAATTAATAGTGATAATGATATGATGGATGGTGTACAGTTAGTTGAAAAACTTTCAGTACATTCAAGTGCTGTTAATAGTTGCCATTTTGGACATTCGCTGTTTGTTTCAGGCGGGAGGTAAGACAGATTGTTATTTTTTAAATAGGTATTTATTAATATATTTATTTATACAATGGAAATACTTGAAGGGTCGGATAAAAAAAAGAGGTTTTATATTCCAGGTATTGGTTTTAATGGATCCATTATGAAATATTAATGCAATTAAAATGTGAAAGAAATATTATTGTTCGTTGAATGAATGCAATTATTCATTCAGATTTCATTGTTAATAATAAAGCAACTAAGAAAGAGTGACTCATCTGTTTACTTCTCTAACCCTTCACTTAAAAAATAAGTGATTTATCAATATATTTGATGTACTTATTATATGAATATATGATGATAATGAGTGGTTATTATAATAGTTGGTAATTAGTAACAATTATATGATTTTATTTCAAAAAGTGAATAGGTCTGAGTCACTATCTTAAAAATACAAAGCTAGAATAATATTACGGTTACGTAGTGTTCAATTTAAGATTTTACTAGTTTTTGATCAAAATCACCATTTATTGTTACAATTCTGTCATTAATAGCTTCCTGATTTTGTGTTTTGTTCCTGCATATGGTTTTATAAATAAAATGAAATATTTTTATGTTGGCAGTGATAAGAAAATAGCAATATGGAAATGGTTTGAGCAAACATTCACTCTATCTAAGATTATTAATGATGCTCATAGATTTACAATTCATCAAGTAGAACTCAGTCCAAGTGAGAAAACTCTAGTTTCTGCTTCTCTGGACGGAACTGCTATAATTTGGGATTCAAGTGTAAGTAATTAGCCAATCTAAAATAAGTGTTATTCTCAATTTGTTTATGATTTATATATATTTTTTTATGAGTATAATGGACAATAGGAGAGACCCTAATTCATATCTCGCTATATAGTTATATCTCTCCTGCAACTATGATTTTACTTTAACTGTATACTTATATATAACAAAATAATAAATTTTATGATAAATTATTTATTGAAAAACATTTTCTAGAGTGGAGAAGTTGAGAAATCAGGTTTTCATATCAGTGGTTCTGGGATACGCTGTGCTCGTTTTTCACCAAATGGAGAATTCTTGGCAGTCGGCGGTGATGATGATAAATTATCTCTGTATTCTGTTCCTTCTTTTGAAGAAATTGGGTATGTTTTTTTATACTAAAGTTTATTTAAATTGGATCATGTTTATAACAAAATGTACTAATATATAAAAATGATTTTTTGTCTATTTAGGTCTACTACTTGCGATGATAGCGGTGTTGTTTGTTTAGCATTCAGCCCAAATTCTGATATTGTGATAGCAGGTACAAGTGATGGTCATGTGCACTGTTTTTCAACCAAACTGTTTTCTACTGCGGTTTTATTTCTGCTTGAAAATGCCCATGACCTTGGCGTTTCTACCCTTGACTTTGCTGCAATATCTCACATGCTTAATATAGGTAGGTGAAAATTAAAATTTTATTTATGCATCTTGAAAAAATTTGTTTATTTTTTACCTAAGGAAAAAAATGATACAATTTTGCTGATAATGCCCATTGTAGTAAATGTCAACAAACACCATCAGTTGTTGCCAGCCTTTTAAAAAATGAACGATTGATCTAAACAAACCGTTACGTTCAGTTAATTATAAAAAAAATCCATATTTTATATCTAACTATTTTTTATATCAAAGATTAATGTGAAATGGTTCATTATTTCAAATTAAAAAAAAAAATTAAAGTTACTTTAGAGGAAGCTAATATTGAAAATTAGGCATTTAAGCCCTGTTAGAGAACATTAATGAAAATAAAACTTACATTACATTAAAAACTGATTAATAATATACTGAAATCATAAAAATGTGTTAAATCGATGATATAAAGTACCACTTCCGTTTGCAGATTTTGACAGAAATATGGCTGTAACATTCCAGGCTTATAAAAACCTCAAGTAAGCAATTTCAGTTTTGTACAACTTTCGTTTTTGAGCTAGGCTATTCACATACACATACATATCACACACACAGACCATTTTGTGGGACTTGGTTATTTGGACTCAGGGACCTCAAAATGTGCAATTCGGTTGAAAATTCAGATTCAAAACTTTTCAAGATCGCAATACTTACCCTTAATATATATATATATAAGTAAGTTAAAGTAAAAAGGTAATGAAACCTAGTAGTGTGACCGCTATCATCAAAAATTTAATGTAACCTTGAATTCTTGTACTGCTAATGGCTCGACTGTTTCTGAAGTGGTTGAGAGGAAGCAATATGGAGATGGTATACCTAAACTGCCAAGTAATGTCAATGAAATATGCTCCACTTCTACAGTGGGCAGTACCAGAGAAATTGTATCTTTATGAAGCTAAAGGATTGAAATTGATCTATGTTTCCTTATAGAAAAGAATTAAGAATAAAATTAGTTTCATTCATAGGTGAAACTGGAAAAGACAAATATGAAGTAGTTTCTGGTGGTATGGACTGCCTGGTTAAAGTATGGAATATGAAAGTGGCCGAAAGAACTATGATGCCGGTGTGGTCTCTTTCAGGTATATTTTTAAATATATTGTTAAATGAATCCTTCTTTTCTAATATGATACATGCCTTTTTTTATTAAGTATTCTTTAAAATATTGTTGTGGAGTTGCTAAAATATTGTAATGAGTTTAATTTTATGATTTGAGGACATGGAGGAAATATAACATGTGTAAGGTATTCACCAAAATTGGCAGAACTACTGGCGTCTACAGCTACTGACAAAACATGCAGAATTTGGGATTCCGTAAGTATACTCAGTTTAGACATTTAAAATGTTTATAGTAAATGTATAAATAAGGATGAAAATCGAACCTATATAACTATGAAAATCAGTTTAGTAACAATAAAAGCCCTATTAATTAACTGCTGTGAAAAGTTTTACAATAATTTGTTTGTAACATTTAATTAAATTAATATTTTGAATGTTCTTAGGTTGTTCAGATGATTTTGAAAAATAACTGCAAAAACAAATTTAAAAATTTATTAATTATTACTAGTAGGCCCGTGTGAAAAATTCGCACAGCATGTTGTTATCAAATGCCAAATTAATAAGAAAACAAAATAAATGCAACAAAAGATAAAGAAACCAATTGTTACTTTATCGATAAATATAATCAACAAAAATTAATTTAAATCTTCATTAATGTTTGGAACCAACATGTTTACAAATTTCAATAAGCCGTATCTTTTCCAAAAATTGTCCGATTTTGATGATTTATTTTTCCTTTTGTAGAGAATTTAATAATATCTTATATAATTCTTGACATAACCCTACGTTTTGAGCCTTAAAAATGCAGGATAATACACAAGTCTTCTTCATATAGAGCTACCTTTAGACTAATACTGGACTTACTTACTGATTCCGTAAGAGACTCAATTCTATCCTGACTGTATTCAGACTACGAACTCTTCCTAATTATAAATTGGAGACCATGGCTTGATCTTTCTAGATTGCTTGGAAATTAATTTAATTCTGTGTCATCTAGATTTTTTTTTTACTCGCTGATTTTATAACTTTTAATTTACAAAACCATTATATTGTTATATTTAATGAAATACAAATCGTATTTATTTAAATTAAATCAATATAAGTAAAGTTATTACAATATTAATAATGTTAAACAGCAGTAGAGTATCGATTATCTGGACCAATCTTTCCTAGATATTGAAACAGTTGTTATAATCAAAGCAATTATATTTTGATTTATGTTGGAACTAAGAATAGATAATTGCAGGATATTAATAATATGTTTTATTCAAATCTTTTACTGTTAAAATAATGATATTTTTGTATAATTATAATTGAAAATTAGGTTATAATCAGCAGTTAAAAACAAACTAACCTGTCGACATTTCAGGCATGATCAGAATAGAAAAAACAAGATCACATGACAATGTGATATTTAAACACATAATTGTTTTTACTCCAATATCAAAAACATGTATGTGTTTGGGTGTCATAGTGTGCTGTGTTTTTTTCTATCCTAGTTATACCTGAATTGGCAAAACGATAGATTTTTTTAAACTATTTAAAAACAAAATCTTAGAAAATGACAATCTTTTAAATTAGTCATTTTATCATTCTTACAAATTATAAAACGCCAGTGCAGTTGTTATCAAATTAATTTGTATTCAGTATTCTGGAAACTGTCTTCACATCGTTGAAAATCATGATAGCATTATGACTTGCTGTGCTTTTTCGCCTGATGCTACTCTACTAGCAACAGGTACGTTAATTATTTTAAAGATCAACTTTGATATTCTTTTATATTTTTTAAACCTTGCTTAGAATTTATATGATTATATTTATTTAAGGGAATAAGATGTTTTTTATGTTTCACCTTGTCAAAATATTTCAAGCCATACGTTTTGAAAACAAATTAATAAGTTTTCATAAAATCAACATCTGATATGTGCACATTTTTATTTGTGGTTTAAGGAAGCACCATAGAAGATAATTAAGAATAAAATTGGCTTCATTCGTAGGTGAAACTGGAAAAGACGAATATGAAGTAGTTTCTGATGGTATGTGCTGCCAGGCCATGAAGACCCATTGTACGCCTCTATTAATGTCACTTCTATTCAGGACGTTATTCCTGCAGTCCCTACTAACTGAAGTAGGCTTGTTGGGTTGACAAGCTTTTTTAAGTTTTTCTTCGGATCAATCATCCTGTCAATGCCGAATGAATGGAATCTTAATTCAGCAAACTTGTCGCACCAGCAAGTGATATGATATGCTGTTTCATCCTCCTGACCACAGAACCAGATTACAGTGCCCATTATACATCTCTGTAATTTTGATAAGAGAGCTCCTGGTCAAGTTAATTAGTAGGTTGCTTCTCTTTGAACAGATTTCATCCAGGAACAATCTTGAATGAGTTTGTTTTTTCAAGTACCTATATTTTTTGGCTTCAACACCAAGACATAAACTAATGCCACAAATAGGTTCGGGAGTTATGGGAGTCGTTTGTGAGCCTTTTCTAGCTAATTCATCTGACGTCTCATTTCCATAAATGGCAGAGTGTCCTGGTACCCATTCAGGACCGGTTGCACAATTCACGGTTTTAACCAAGATTTAGTTATCTGAGCTTAATCTACCAGTAACAGCTCAGCTCTGTTATCACCACTTTCAGTCATTGGTTAGAAATTAAATCTTAACCAAGATATAAGAAGGAAGTAGAAGGTTACTAATAGGTTTTTCTACAGTTCTTTGTGTTATGAGCTTCTCAATGTCTTCTCAAGTGTTTGTTTTCGTTCAACGAAAGTCAAAGTCAAATTAATTTGTGTCAATTAGTGTTAGTTTTCAAGAAATATCTATCACAAAGTTCATCATCACACCAATGGGACAAAATGATGAGACAAAATCATCACACCAATCTGAGGACGATATACTTTTTTCTCCATTAGTAAAAATGCAATTAAATCTAGCTTGCAACCGATCAAGATTAAACTTGGTTTAATCTTAAATAACACTTAATCTAAGCTTTACTGAGTTGGAGCAACTGGCTCTCAATGGTTACCTTATTGAACCCAGATAAATTGTTAAGAATCACCACAAAGTCCTTAACAGCTTTAGATCTAGTTGTATAGTTTTCCAGCACTCGTATTACCGCTTGATTGTCGGTATGGATGTAAATTTTCCTCCCCACCAACTCATCGACCAACAACTTTGAGGTACAGCGAGATATCGTCAGTATTTCAGATTGGAATACCGTTTCATATTTTCGAAGTGTATAGACCATCCTCTGGTTTGTCCTTTCTCCAAAAGCAAGCACCAGAGCCGCAAGTCATTAGTGATCCATCAGTGTGACAATTAATCCCATTAATAAATTTATGTTTCCTGAACATAATTCTTTGAAATATTTTCTATAAGTTTGTGTAGCCTTATAGATTATAGAAAGTTTTCAAGGCCTATATTTCTAGTTCCAACTGCAAAGTACCTAACATTGCTTCCCTAGTTGCAGTCGGTAGTTTTCATTGTACCTGTTATCATTAGACAGGCTAATCTTTGTAGTTTTTCCAGTTGTATTCGATTGACCAAGGCTTTACAAATGTATATCAGAACTGGCTTTATAATAACATAAAAGTTTTTAATTTGAAATGGAATGTAAAAAAAATACAAATTGCACTTTTGCACATTTAGAAAGATTATTAAAATACAGTTACAAAATAATCTACAGGTATAGACTTGAATTCACAGTTTTAAAATTAGATTAGATTAGTATTAAAATTAGATATTAAAATGTACAGTTACAAAATAATCTATAGGTATAGACTCGAATTCAGTTTTAAAATTAGATTTATAAGTTCTAACATGAGAAGTTGATCGGGGGGTCCGGTCAAATAAATACTAAATAAAACAAATATATTATTTAATTTATTTGACCGCACCCCCCGATCAACTCTTTCTCATATTATATCAACGGTCAACGATCTCTACATCTTTATAAGTTCTAACATTTTATATGAGGTTAAATATATGGAATAAACAATTTCTTTTATTTTTAATCATTGTTATGTCAGATTTTGAGATATATTTCTGTTTTATAGGATCAATGGATAAAAGCATATCTATCTGGGAGTTGCCAAAAAACCTCTCATTTCAGTTATTCGTTTCGAGCAGACTAAATCCAAGCCAACCAACTGAGGTAGAAATTATTCTTAATTATAAATAAAGATTTTTTTTTTTGTTGCAATGGAAAATTTTTTAGGCCAGATTTTATCTTTATATTTGTGACTTTATGTATATCAGCGCACTCTTTGGTCTGGATTAGTAATGTTCACTAATCAATCTACCAAAATAAAATAAAAAAATAATTTTGTATTATCTAGTTGTGAAATGATAATATAATTGCTTATAATGAAATATAATTTTTATTTTAAGGAACTTCTAACAGGATGGTTGGAACGAAGTGGTGTTTCTCCTGCTGTAGAATTAACTAGTTCAGATATTTTAGAAACTCCAATAGAAGAACTTTTGGACAAAATTGGAATTTGTAAGTAGTAGTTATAACAATTTATTTTGACAAAAATATCTGCATTATATTATTAACCTTTTTCAAAGTGTCTTAATGAAAATTTGTGTATTTAATTATACTTGCATATAAACACACTTAAAATCACTACCATGTCGCTGTAGATGCACACCATGTATCTGAATATTTTCAACTTACAGTAGTGTTAAAAACGTATCATCAGTTTATTGCAGAAATTCACTTTGATATAGCTAAACTTTTTAGGTACATTAAAGTGCCACATACGGCATTATATTATTGATTTATTGCAAAAATTCACCAAGTATACTGTTAAATGAGTTAACTTTGAGCATGTTCTTGTGAACTTTGATCTTATTAATGCATAAAACACAGGAAGTACATAAAAACGATGCAGACTTTATTATTGTGAAAAATTCATTAATGTACTTAGTTATTAGCCGACTAAGCGAATGGCTGAGATCAATTTTTAATTTGATGGCTCAAAATTTTCAGTGAGATCGCCTGAGTGTTTTGAAACAATTTGACCTAAAACATTATCCTATAACTGAATAAAATGTGTTTAATCAATTTGCTCCAAGGTATGTTATGATTTTTTGAACAAACGTCTGGATCGATTTTTAAGTTTAATATCTTAAATTATTTGGTAAGATCCATCCCCCGAGTGTGAAAGCAAAGCGACCCGAGAGTTAATGTGTTTGGGTTGTCCAATAAAAGATCTGTAACAATTCAAATTTTATTAAATGCTGCATTATATTACACAACTTGCATCAAATTAGATATTGATTTAATTTTAATGGTTGCTTAATTGATTTTCCTGATAAAGCAATGTTATATAAATTTGAATTTCATTGATCCACTGTTATCTTCAGACTCAGCAGGGAATTTTTAATAAAATTGTTTTGCGTAATTCATTTTCATTAAAAATTAAATTACGTGATTTTGCTTCTGCTGTGCTATATATTCACAGCATATTATACATTAGTTTTACACTATTATTTGAATTATATTAAGTTGTTAATTTATGTCAATTAGTTTATTTCTCAATTGAACTGTTTATCTAAATTTTGTAGTTGAGGAGAGTAAAAGAGCAAACATTGAGAAGTTAGTAAGATCTCTGCGGGAGGAGCCACCCCATGATTTTATTTGTCCTATCACTCATCACATCATGCGAGATCCAGTTATAGCTCCAGGTAAATTTAACTTTATCTTTGTTACCATTATATCATTTGGCCTTGGCAGTTTAAAATTTATTTTGTGTCAGACCCATTGAATCTTGACCTTCCCAATGTGGTTTAGAATAGGTATGGTCGTATCTCTAGAACAATCTTCTTGTATGCCATGAGAGCTTAGCTGTTTGAATGAGGTATGAAATGAAAGGAAAGTTGATGGAGTAGTAACAAATCCCAAAATGTAAAAGTCACTGAAAAATTAGGATGTTTAAAAACCCAGGTGATTTCAAAAATTGATGGGTCTTCTTTTGCGTCACCCTGTCATGCCTATCAGCGTAGGAGAGTGTTTAACCAGGATTGCTGTTTCTTGCCAGGTTCCTGGCTTCACTGCCATCTTTTCCTCTCCTTTTGTACAGTTTCTATTTTCTTCCCCATAAGTGATCTTATATTTCAAGTTCCTAGCCTATGTCATTTTCCATGCCGAGTCGTTCTGTTCTAGTCCATCCAAGTCTGAGGCTATTCACTAATTTTCTTTGAATCATATATATATATACTGTCTTACGGGTGATTGACCAAACGAAAAAGGCTCCGTAACCTCGGGACTAGTGGCCCTGATGTGTGTACTATATGTGATCTTGTGTATGAATTAGTGTGCAGTGTATTGTTATGTCTTGTAAGAGAGCATTGTACTGAACTTCAGAAGCCTGGGGGAGCGTTAATTCCCTTTAGTCTGGCACTTAGACCAGTCCCTATGGGAAAGTTGATGGATCAAGGCGGGATAAATTATGTTTTAAAGATTTTGGAATTTAAATCAAGACCTGGGTATACATTTTTGGGCTTTAAAATGCAGTGTCCGGTATTGTTCATGTTTACATCATATTCTGTAAAAAAAAATTTATCCTACTTTGATCCATTGACTTTTGAAACCATCTGAGTTTTGAAATTGGTATTCGTTACTTTTCTATGAAGTTCTCTTTTGTTCGATACTGCATTCATCAAAAAATCCATTGCTCATAGGTCAGAAAATAGATTTATAATTCCACATTATGTATAGTGTAGATTATAAAAGAAAATATGGTTCGTATGTTATTAAATTGTTCTTTGTATTACTAATGTTAGGTGTAGGTATTACTAACTTTGTATTACTATATTAGGTGATTATTTTTATACTTTTCTGTTAATATTTTCCTATTGATTAATCATACTACGAGTAACCCAATTTTTTTTTGGGTTCTACTTTACTGAAGGTTAACAAAAACTACCAGATAAATGAATGATTACTGTACTGTAATCTCTTTAGCAATTAATTTTTCTTCTTTTTTTTTTTTAGATGGTTATAGATATGAAAGAACAGCGATTGAGGCATGGTTAGGCAGTGGAGAGAAGCGGAGTCCTATGACTAATGAAAATTTCGATGATATTACACTCGAGCCTGATGTCGATTTGAAAAACAGAATAAGAGAATATTTAAGGGAATAGCGATGGTATCGTTTTATCAACTCTGTTTGCCTTCACTTATAGATTAGGATGCCTTCACTGTGATTGTTATACATATGTATGTCGCACATGAAACGAATGCCATCGTAATTTGAAAATTTTATAGAGCTCTCTTGCAAAGAGGATTTGTTATATTTACAGAATTTAAGTTAATAGTATTTTTTTTTTCCTTCTTAGTGAGTTAGCCATAGATAGCATTATTTTTAAGTATAATTAATCCATTTTATCAATACACAAATGATATAAAATATTTTTCTACTGAAAAAGTATTATTACTAATTGAAGAAACAGTATTGCTTTCAAACTATAATTATTTTACTTAGAAGAACATGTATGTTCTTTAAATGATTGAATTTATTTAGCTTAATGTATTGTTAAAGTTTTATTTTTGTTACCAATTTATTGAATCTATTAGAAAAAAAAAAGAAGATATTATTATCTTTATTGATTAATAACAGAATCGAAAACCTCGATGTTAGAGAATTGTTGATTATATTTGGATATTGAATATATATATATATTTTTATAAATGTTTCTAATTATAACTATTTCAGTTGCTATTTAAAGAAACATATAAGTATGAAATTAAAATTTTTGTTATGTTGTTCATAAATTTGATATTAGATAAAACAGTTGAAATTTTGGTATAGCTTTTTTATTGGTTAATAAAGAAATCTATTTTTAGTTAGAAGGTAGACAGAAGAAAATAAGCTGTTCATTTACAATGTGAAATTTTTAATTTAAAGTTAAAACTAATTATTCTGATCAATTTGAGTCAGAACAGAGGCATTTTTAAAAATGAAATACAATAGGAAAAAAATTCATTGCGAACTAATGATTAAAGTTAATTCATATTTAATAAATAAAATTAATACTAAGATATCTATTTTGAAGAGAAACCTAATTTGCAATACTTTGAAACTTATTCTAATTAAATATTCATATTTGAAAAAAACATTAGACAGTCTAGTTCACATAAACGAAATAAAAGAGAAATCACCAAACGATCTCAAGAATTCAAACTAAATTAATTTTACAAGTTTGGATTGCCGAGATAAAGCTGTATTTAAATTAAATAGAATGTCTTATCATTATCAATGGAATGAAAATATCTCAGACTACCTTTCTAAGAATTATTTAACTACATTTATGGATTAGTCAAAATTTAATTTAAATAAATATACAATTACAATATAATATGCCTTAATAATGTCTACATATCCAAAAAGGAAATGAAATATTTTTGTACTTTTTATTGTATGTGCTCATGTCTTTGAAATCACTTTTTAAGATTTTTTTTTTTTTTTTTGCTTATTTCTTATATAACTATTCGAACTACTATTGTAATATATTTGATTTTACACTTCTTTTTTTTAAGTATAGTATCTTTAAATATTTTTCCAAACTAGGGACCAGAAGATAACTTCAATTCAATCAGTATTAAAAGATGTTTACAACTAAACTAAATTTGTCTTTCTTTTTTTTTTTCTTGTATGCTTCTATGGCATTAAAAAAGTATTTTTATTTCAAACTTTGCTTTAAATAATATGCTATATTGTAAAAAAATAAAATAAACTCTAGCCTTTGGAATATGGAAAATAGATTAATTAAAATAATTTGAAGTGTTTGTAAATTCCCAAGTTTTAATTACAAGATATAAGGCAATAAAAAACATAATCATTGAATATATAGAAACTGTATGAAAGAAACAAAGAGTTTGAGATATGTATAATATTACATATTATAGGAAAAAAATCTCTTTGCTTTTATTTATTTATTTTTTAAAACAATGAAACAATGAATTAAACACTGCCAACATTGTGTTGTAGGGGATATTAGTTTATTTTGTTAATTTTAATTCATCCAGTAAAACTTCAATCTCTAATTTTTGGGGGATTCATTTCTTTCTTCATCCGTTTTCTTTTCTTTTTTATTAAATTTTAAAATTACTGTCATAAATTTCAAAATGAAATTTACCAAGTTATAACAATAAATGAATCTTAGATTATAATCATTATTCTCGAGTGTTATTTAAAAAAAAAATTATTTATGTGCAATGTTTGAACTTAATTATAGGTGTAATTTATAATAGCTTTTGAATTACACTTTTTCAATTAAAATATTTTTAAATTGTTATCTTTCACCCCATTTGTGTCAGCCAATTGTTGTTTTATCACTTTTTATCCAATTTTAAATTCTAGTTTGATTATTGTTACCAGTTTTGATATTGGTAATTTGAAAATTTGCACAATGAAAATATAATTAAAGGATTATGTGTGCCTTTTCTTGGGTGATTTATTAATTAGGATAGCTAATTATTTTTATTTGCTTAACTTTTTTAACTTTATTTTTCTGTTCCAATAATTATTCAATTTAAATTTATAAAAAAGTTTTTGATTTTCTCTTTAAACAGTTCTAAACATTCAAGTGCTTATGGTTATTATTTATATTTCTAAATAATTAAGTGATGTATTTATATATTTTAATAAACCCTTTAAGTTCAGTATTAAATAATAAAATTAATTTTTATGAATGTTAGTTTATTCAATCTAAGTAATCATATTATCTATACGAAACATGAGTCTGGTTACAGCTTTAATTTTAGGAATAATGTTGTCAATTTCTGTATTTATAATTAAAAAATGTAAATATTAGCTGTCATCAGTTTGTGTATGTTGATTGGTTATAATGTGCTATTGTAATAATTATTATTTATAAAGATCCATTGTTTTATTTTTGTTTTAAATATTAACTCTATTTTAAAAATTCTTTTTGTTTTTGTACTAAAAAAAAAGTGCTTTGATCAAATGAAATTTCTTCACAATTGAGATTCAATTTAATTTAAAGTTTGTTTTTTCTTTTGTAGTTAGATGAGCCTGCATCTATTTGTTATCATTTCGAATAATAATATATTTTCATTTTATTTTACCTAGTTACCAGTACAAGTACATAAAAACTACATGTGGTACATTTATATTGAAGCATCACTATTGTTGCTTAAATGTTCATGCCATGTTTTAGTTTCAATCTATCATTAGTGAAATTTTAAATGACAAACGCTTTCTATTATTAAAATTACATCATAATCATTACCTGCCTTAGAAAGAAGCTAGTGAATTTAGTTTTAAATTTATAATTATGCTATTTATTTAATTTATGTGGTCTAATCCACTAAAGATAAATTATCGAAAATAATTATCTGAAGTATAAATATATAATTAAAGTCAGGTTTAGAAATTTAAAATACATAATTATTTGATTTATTCTCTCTTACAGTACACCTTGGTCAGAAAATTATTTCTTAAAGGTTTTTTTTTTTGTCAGAATGTCTTCTTTAATATCATTCAAAGAAAAATAATTGTTGAAATTGGATCATTATTAGAAGAGAGACTGTGTATTGGAATTTGTTTAGTAACATGTTTTGATTTATTATTTTAAATAATGAACCATTACAATCGACAGAGAAAAAAATTATTTTTTTTCGAAATTACTTAATTTTTTATCGTATTTACTTATTTTATTAGCATTTGGTCGTTGACCAATATTCTGTGTGCATTATTTGCACAGTCCAACTAGTTATGTTTTATAATAAATGGAAGTCAAAAACTAAAAAAATTATTAAACATTTGCTAATTTACTGTTGAACTGTTTTTCAGTCATTTGTAGATAAAAGTGAAGTATTTATCATATTAACCTGTGTTTGTTGATGATTTATTATTTATATTTGTAATGAAATTTTTTCTAAATTCTAGATAATCATGCTTTTGCCAAATATGAATGGATAGTAATGTTAATTTGATATAATATACTTATGTATGGAACAAGGTAATATTATTTGAATACACAAATGCAATAACCATGAAAAGCCTTATTATCATTACATGACATTGTTGTAAGTGTATATATTGGGAAAATATCAATAGAATCTCATTATATTATTATAAAGCCGTCATGATTTTCATTTATTATTTTGTATATTTATTTATAGTTATCTCTTTATGTTTTAACTCATATTATTCTAGTCTTTTTAATTAATTTAATTGCCTTATGCCATTTCTGTTAATTTTTCAATTCTGTGATATTTTGTTTTCTGTTGTGAGTTTTATATGAAATCTAAGTGCCTTATAAAGTTTTTATTAAAAGTGCATTGGATAGAAGTTAAAAGTATGTAACAACAGTTTAAACTGCAATTGCACATGAAAAATATATAAGCGAAACTTATATTGGAAATTGTGATTATATAATTTTTTACTTATAGCTCTATTATCACGCTTGTTATATTATTTTTTTTGTCAATAAAAGTTTTTGACGAAGATATATCTTGAATTTTCTTCCTGTTCTTTGCTGTTTTTAATACTTATAGAATTATTTTTATTAACCCTTTGTGGGAGCTCATTTGTGAGTTTCTTTCTACCTTACGTTGCATCCTGAAATTCACAAAGACGGATTTCACAAAATGCTATTTGGAGCCATCCTGCAAAATCTTAGTTTTCAAAAATGCATTATAACGTTTTTATTTAACTTTAAAAAAACGGGATATATGCCTTCCCGGCCGCACATAGCAATGCAAAATTAGAGTGGCAATCTCACAATTCCTCGCTTTGGTCATTTCTGAAAAGCAAAATAACTGAAAATTATCAAAAAAATAACTGTAAGTGAAGCTCAAAATTAAATTATATTATTTCTAAAAAAAGGATACTGATGGCAGGATTCAATTCATGTATTTCTTTACATTTACAAATTTTTTTCTTACCTAAAAAAGTTCCAACTATAGCATCGTTTTAATTCTGTATATTTTTATATTCTTTAAGTTTTATTATTACATTTTAATTTAATTATATGTATATATATATATATATATATATATATATATATATATATATATATCTGCAACTGATAGCATCTAAATGGTCAGAATCCGGAACGACTGCACTAAGTTAGCTACAGGGGACTAATGAATCAAATGGTGAAGGTGGCAGGAC